CTTAGAACAAATGGATAAATCATTTATCTTATTTTTTTAACTGCACAACTTCTATTTTTCTCTGTATTAATAGTGAAGACTCATCTTTGATTCTGTATTTTAAAAGTTTTTAGATAGGCATTGCCTAACATATATAGTTCATATGCTCTGTCTTTTTAAATTTTTCTTTTATTGTCTATTTGCTCAATAATTGCCAACTCATCATGCTTGATGGGGAATGGTATGTAAATAAAAAACTAATAAATAAGGGACTGGACTTGTTGTCTAGTAGTTCATGATTCTATAGTAGCCATCAAAGGAGGTTAACTTGGCCCCTAGTTTGATTTGATTTAAACTCAAGTTTTTATCCAAAAATGATCTTAAGAAATACTGCAACTTACTTTGAAATTTATATTCACATCTTTTACATTTGTTTATCTTTCTATTGTTTATTTTATCTAAAGAATTTATCAGTTGGTTTTTATTAGAAAAGAAGAGAAGATCTATGAATCACCATTTTAGTCTCCTGAAATTGGAGCCATAGCATTTAGAAGTGTTAACTAATTTGAAACACAGAATTACATCTCAAAGATGTGTTTTCTCTGTGAAGCAAATTCCAAACAGCAAAAACAGCAAAGGTGAAGGGAGCAGGTTCTTTAATTTTGTGAATGTCACTTTGCAAGTTAGTCTCTTTTTTGCAATACAAATGGTTAAGAGCTTTTTAAAACTGCTAATGCATTGAGTGCTTTGAAATGGAACCTGCCTATCCTGATACACCTATTTTTTATTCCCCTATCCTACATTTTCTTCTGTATGTAGAAAAGTTTAGCCATCAGAATCTATCATTCTTCTCTCCTCTCTTGTCAAGGACATGCCTCATGTGAGGCTAATGGTGTCATAAAGACAACTGCTACTGCTGTAAAATTTATTTTACTTAATTTTGGTCTTAGTATTCTCATGTGAAGTAGTCGTCCCCTGAAATGAATGGTTTTCAAATGTCAAGTTTTTTATTGGTTAGTAAACAAAAGTTTAGGATTTAAATCAGAAGGCCTGGCTCTGTTGGCCTTGCCAGATCCCCTTAACTATCTAGCAGAGAATATGAGAAAAAGGTATTAAATTCAGATCTAGCAGAAGGCAAATGACGGGGACAGACGCTTGCATTCCAATTGACCTTCTGGTGAAGAGATAAAACTTTTGATCCAACAAGCTGTACTTTTTTGGATTTATTTTCCAACAGTAGGTGGTGAATGTGCACAGAATTGCATTCTTCTTTCACTTGATTATGATGCTGCCCACTAGTGTACGTACTCAGAATGGCTGGGATTGAACTCATGGAAATGAAATTAGGAAAAACAACCAGCTTTAATGATGTTCAAACCTCCAGTCTCAGATTCCTTTGTGTTCTACACACTTGAGCTAAATATTCACATGTTTGGAAAGACATCATTTTGGAATGAAGCAGGAGTTTTAGCACAATAATATGATTATGGACAACTTAGCACACCATGATTTACAAAAATAAAGTGTGTCATCATGTTGTCTAATTAGTTTTGCTTAATTTCTTAAACTACAAAATAGAAATGTATTCTCTGTTCCATGTTTCTCAGAAAGTCTTTCAAGAATCAAAGGTATGGAGATCAAAATACACTTTGAGCTATAGTAATGGATGATACCATCTTATTAATAAAATAGGTTAATAAAAATATTTTCTATGAATCTTGTGTTATATTAGGAGCAATTTCATAATATCCTGGAGTTTTAAAGTTTGAATGATTTTTTTAGATCATTTGTTATGGCTAATTTTGCCACTGAAGATTTTGGACAGTGTCAGTATGAATATTGTTCAAATTCACCCAGAAAATAAAAATAGAATTTAGTTCTTCAAATACCTAGCCCTGTTTACTCTCTAGAGTATTCCTATGTTATTTATAACAGCCTAAAAATATTATTTCTGTACCATTATATGGTAACTACACCCACCCACACACACTCCCCTTAATGAAAAAAGCAAGATTTTTACACAGGGTGATCCTGTTTCCTCTGCTATTTCTCATTGTCTTCTGCTACATAAGACTTGTCTCTAATCTTCATAGTAATTTTTAAAGTACTTCCTCTTTTTTTCCCTCAGTTATTTGTGTTTTACTTTTTTATTCTCTTGGAAAGAATGGTAATCAGTTAGATATTTACTTTTATACCTATAAATAGCCACAATTATTCACTGACTAGCTATGATCTATAGCATAAAGTGAATAAAGTAATAAATAAAAATAACTTTAGTAATATGTTACAACTATAGAGAGTCTTTATATCTTACAAATTATCTTTATGAATTTTATCATATCTAACTCTAATGACAACTGTGTGAGGTAAAGTTTATTGTTTACTTTCACCAAAAGTAAAGCTTGGAGACTTTGCGACTTAGCGCAGATCTCACACTTAGATAGTGGTAGTGACCAGATCCTAGTGCTTTAGAAACTAAAGTCGGAGCAATTTCTAGAGATCAAAACTGCTGTTTCTTTATTATCTTTGTGTGTTTTCACCTCTCTCCTCTGCAAATGCAATTCTTTTATGTAATTTGGACTTAAATGCTCAAATTAGTCAGTGAAACATAGAAAAATGCAGAATACTAAACTGTATTGAAGTAATATAAATCAAGCAGTAATGATCTTCTCCAAGCAATTTCAATATTAAATATTACATAATTTATATCTTGTTAATCCCAACATGATTTGGTTGCTGTAGACAGCTCTGCGATGTAGTGATTGCAACTTTATTCTATTAACTATGAACAGTTAATGATCCAAACTTCTAACTTTACTGACATAATGGTTCTCCAGAGATCCATTTTCTTCCACAAAGCCTGGCTTTCTTGTCAGACACTGAAACAAATTATTTTGTACTCCCTCTAATGTACCATCATTTTATCTTCTGACTGCAAGCTTTAATTTTTGAAATAGCCAGAATAAATTTGGACTTCAATATGCTAAAGAAAGTTGATTACGAAATATGATCACATGAGTGGTCTTCAAAAAGTTTCATGGAAAATGAATATTATTAAACAAAGGAATGGATTGAAAAAAATTCAAACCAAAATAAACTTTTCCTAACTTTTTATAACAGTTCTGAACAGGATCTAGTTTGAGGCACAAAGAAGGATAAGATATCAGTTTGAAAAGAACCTATCAAAGCAACATGAATTCTGCTAACGTTGAAACAAGAACAAACATCACATTTGTGAAAGCATCAGTGCCTCACAAAATGTTTATAAAGACAATGCTCCTAAAAATCAGCAAGTTTACAAATGAATGACTCATTTTAAGAAGGGACAAGATGAAGATGAAGCCTGCAGTGGCATACAATCCCCATGAATTTGTGAGGAAAAATTGTGACTTGTCTGTGCCCAAATTGAAGAGGACCAGTGATTAGCAATAAATAAATAAATAACCAACACCACAGATATCTCAATTGGTTCAGCTCATGCAATTCTGACTGAAAAATTTAAATTGAACCAATTTTTCACTCAATGGGTGCCAAAACCATTGCATCCAGATCCACTACAGGCAAGAGCAGAGCTTTCAATGAGAATTTTAAATAAGTGGTATCAAGATCTTAAAGGATTTCTTTGAAAAAATTGTAAAGGGAGGTAAATCATAGCTATACCATTATGATTCTGAAAACAAAGAAGAAATAAAGTAATGGCTACGAAGAGGTCAAAGTTGTCCTGTCAAAGCAAAAGTGAACCAGTCCTGTGCAAAGGTCATAGCAATTGTCTTGGGATACTCAAGGCATTTTGCTTGTTGACTTTCTGGAGGGCCAAAGGACGGTAATATCTGCTTACCGTTAGAGTGTTTTGAGAAAGTTAGCCAAAGCTTTAGCAGAAAAACTCCCAGGAGAGCTTTACCAGAAAGTCGTTTGCACCACAAGAATGTTCCTGCTAATTCCTCTCCTAAAACGGGGCAATTTTATGAGAGTTATTAATGCAATGGGAAATCATTAAGCATCCACCTTACAGTCCTGCTTTGGCTCTGACTTCTTTTAGTTTCCTAATCTCAAAAAAATCTTGAAAGAGCATTTATTTATCTTTAGTTAATTATCTGCTCTGTATGCATTTGCTCCCACAGTCAATAAAATCTATAGCAAACAGGCTGAGTTTATCTACCTAAGTTCATTGTTTTCCTGGAATGATTATGAAATAAGTTAGCTATTTAGTTTTTTGGGGTTTTTGTGTTTTTTTTGGTTTGACTCCTAAATGCAAATTCACTAGAAGGACTTATCTTTATAAAACTTTTGGCATAGTTAAATCTCCAGGACCTCAGTTCTTTAGGGATTAACTAGGTGGCTAGTATCATTGCTTACAAAATTGTCTTGAGCTTGATGGAGCATATGTTGAGAAATAAAGTTTATATTTTTTATTTTTATCTTTTACTTCAATTTTTACACAAAGTTGTTGAAGTCCCCTTGTATATGTTCTAGGAGTAAGATATCATTAGTATTTCCAAGAATTATATAAATACCAAATTTGAAGCAAACTATAGTCTTTCAAAGTCATTTGTGTTTGTCTTTTAAAACAAATGTACTACCTTAGTGATATTCTCTAATACTCAGAAATATGTTGTTTCTTTGTTATGACATCATTATACCACTATGCTGTAACCTTTTGCAATTGACTTTTAAAATCAATATAGATTGTTTATAAAATGTCACATCATCTACTATTATAGGTTAATTTTGAAATAAACAAAACTGTATATGTGTGTGCTTATATGAGAGAGAGAAAGAGAGAAAGTTAAAGCAAGAGCAAAAGCTAAAATGTGAAGGGAAACCCAGGTTAATCCTAATTGGAATACTTAGCTTGCAACAGAGGTATTTATTAATTCTGATTGGTTAGATTTCACTTGTGGTAAAATCCAACAGCCATTAAATTGGCACTAACTGATCAACGTTTATGTGCACATATGGAAGTAACATTCATCAGGTGTTGAGCAGGTGAGAGTAAGGAGGGAGGATGGGCAAATTCTTACCCAGTGGGTGTGGTGTGCACAGTCTGGGGGATGGGAACACCTGTAGTTCTGACTCTGGTGGTGCAACAGTAGTATACGCAATCAAAATGTTTGTACCTCAGTAATATTCTGAAATTAAAAAAAAAATAAAAATTCAGTGAGTGATAGATTGCTTAGCAACTGTAGTTTTCTATAATAGCTTTTTGCAATGATGTACTTTTCATGCATATTATACTTGTTACTAACCTCAAGCCTCTTTCCTTTCAGTAAGCCTGCTCCATACACTATGAATGCCTTTGTCTATTCATAGTTATTCCAATTTCAACCATCTACTTTCTTAATTATTTCTAGTTTCTTAATTTCATGTTGCCAACATAAAAAATAATCTAAGACTAATCTCATCAAATCCACAAATAAACCCCCTAAAATAGCTTAGGAACTCTATTGACCAACTCCTCTTAAACAACTGCTGGTAAATCATTACTGATTGTCTTGGTACAATTTGAGAACATGCTATTGAATTGTACTTTTTCTACCACTTATTAAATTTAAGATTCTTAATGCCATCATTATTTCTGGAGATAAACCCTATCACTGGCCTGATGTTCAGTCAAATGCAATGTAACGAGTGTATCTGAAGACAGAAAAAGCTTTCCAAATTTGAGTACTTTGGTTTTTTAAAAGAGACGTAAAAGTGCTTCTGAAAATTTCTGAAAAACTGTGGTTTTTAGCTAGGTTCCATCTTTGAAGCTAGGGGTTCTTTGGTTATTTTGAAGAATTTGCAGACAATCTTTTAGGTTATAATGTGATATAAAGAGTCCTTTAAATTCTCATTCATATTGAAGGTGAGTATAAAAGCAGAATGCATGAGGGAGAATGAATCAAGAGCTTCAGATAGAGAGAGCATATCTGTTCTCTGAAAACCACACTAACGAGCTATGGGAGCCTGGGTATGTCTATCCTGCCTCTGTTGGATGCCCTATCTCTGAACTCTATTTGGAGGCATGACATGAAGGAGTTTCCTAGAGTTAAAGATAAGAGAAATAAGCTGCATTTCCAGCTTCTACAGAGGACATCATAAGCATTTTCCCATATGAATAATGCTATAAATTATATTCAAGAGTGGAAGTAATTAACAGCAATGCAGGAAGTACATATAGAGTAGGATTATTTGAGCTGAGGCAAGCCTTCCCATTATATACATTATCATCATCTCTAAGATAAACATGTTTCCACCAGTGGGTAGAAGCTTCACCCACTGTGGAAAAGCTATTGTGTCAATGGAGGCAATATAAGTTGCTATTATCATCATCCTCTGTCATCCACATCACCATCATCATCATCATCTTCCTGATAAACACTTACTGGGCATGTGCTACATGCCCAGCACTGTTTGAAATACATTACATACATTACTTCATTTGATTGTTACAATATTCCTATGAGGTAAAAACTGTTTTATCTTCCTATTATAGAAGTTGCAACTGAAAGACAAAAATGCAAAATAACATGCGAAAGTTTTCATAATGATTAGTATATTCAGAATTCATCTGACTCATGAGGTTTAGTAACTTTTCCCTCCATGTAGTAGATTTAGAATCAGAAGAAGTAGGTTGACATATGAGATTTGCCATTCATTAGTTTGGGAACTATAGTTAAACAACAGACATAACAAGCCTCAGAATCTTCATCCATAAAATTGAGTAAATAATAATACCTATATCTTGAAGTTGTGATTTTTAAAGAAAAAGATAGTGCAAAATGCTGCACATAATGTCTGAGAATGAAAGTTAACCTTAAAGTACCAAAGTAATGACTTCAGTCCTTTGCGTGTGTGTGTGTGTGTGTGTGTGTATGTGTGTGTGCGTGCCTGCCTGTGTGTGTGCGTGTGTTTGTGCATGTGAATGGGCCGAAAAACAGTGTTAATTAAATTTGATGTTTCCTTAGAGATTAATTTAAGCACTGTGAAAATCTTGTTGACTGATCATCAGTCAAGGAGACTTTTAATTGAAGTGCCTAATTAATTTAGCTAATGGAATAAACAATGCCAGAAGACATAAGAAGTGAGGTGGTGAGGGCTCTAGATATTTGGTGCCCTTAATTTTGTTTCAGAACACCACAACTTTTTTATTTTTCATTTTTTGTCTTACTTCCCATTTTTTATTCTCCCATACTTCTTTCTTTGTCAGAAGGACGAGCATTTTTCCCTTTACACATCTGAAGCCTTTAAGGTAATAAGACTGAAAATATATTCCCTTTTGCAGATTTCCTCACAAGTGTTTGTAGGGATATTATTGTAAGGGGGCTTTGAGGTATCCTCCAGCCTCATACAGCATATTACATGAGCATCATTGACCCTGCGTTAAATTGTATTACTCTGCAATGTTTGCACACTGTCAACTTGACAGAGATTACAAAGTAAATCACATCTGTGAAACTATGTTACCATCAAAAATTGTCTGAAGGGCTCAGTCTCAGCACAAATTCAGGCAAGGGTTACTGAGTCTACTAGATCAGCATGAATGGAGGAGTTGGTATATTTTTAACTTTCCCATTTTCTATTAATTTAATCATTGATTCTGAGGAAGTTAGCACGTAGTTTGCTTTTCTGATCATATTCTCACATATCTGGGAATACTTTGATGCTAATGTGAGGCTGCACAGTGCTCAAAAATATTGTATCACTTTATTAGAAAAGGGTTTTAAAACTTCTAAATTGTTCTAAGGGTATAGGTTGGATGCTCACAAAATGTAGGAGAAATAAAAAGTAAATTGGTTTCTTCAAACTTCTCATCAGAAAATTTCCATTTTCAACTTTGTTTTCTCCTGAAACACCTCCCTTTACCCCTTCCTTAAAGTGATATCCTGTCAGTAGCATTTTTTAAATTAAATCTATTTTGTGGCTATGCTTTACCTTGAAATACTTCCTCTAAAGTCAATTATCTGCTCTATATGCATTTACTCCAGCAATCAATAAGATCTATAGTAAACAGGCTGAGTGGATCTACCTAAGTTCATTGTTTGAGGCTTGATTATGAAGTAAGTTAGTTTAATAGTTAGGTTATTTTTAGTTTGACTCAAATGAAAATTCATTAGAAGGATTTGCCTTTAAAAACTATTTCTCCCAGGAAGTTTATGTAACATAAGAGTATATTGTCCTGCAGAATCAATGTAAAATTCATCAAATTAAAGAGGTACTGGCGAAAGACTTTTTAGAAATAAATTTCTTAATCGTGGTTGATAAGTGATTAAGTTACATCTCTACTTTAGGAATAGGGTTGTATGCCTCCAAAGACCTCATATTCTGTGATTTTCAAACCACCCTGGTACATAACTAAAGACATCTTTTACTCAGAGCTTCCAGTTATGGTGTGTTTACAGATTATAATAGTTACTAGTTATTGGTTTATTATGATGATCCAGAAAGCATATATTATGATCTGAATTATGTCTCTACAAAATTTATGTGTTGAAGCCCTGATCCGCAGTGTCAATATATTTGAACACAGGGCCTTTGTGGAGACAATTAAGGTTAAATGAGGTCATAAGATGGGCCATAATTCGAAAGGACTGGTGTCTGTATAAGCAGGGGGAAAGATACCAGAAGTGCCTACACTCAGGGAAAAGACCATGTAAAGATACAGCCACAAAGTGGCTCTTTGCAAGTCAGGAAGATAGGTTCTATCAGAAATCAACCATTCAGGAACCCTAGTACTGTAAGAAAACAAATTTCTTTGTTTAGGTATTAAATACTGCCTACTGGCTGTTGTTCAGGCCACTTAATCTGTAGTATTTTGTAATCACATCCCTAGCACATTAATACACTATGTCAAGAAGTTTAGATACATTATTTCTTGTGATTGTTACAATGATACTGAAGAAGGTGTAATTACCTCAGTTTTGTGTAAATAAGGCTTAACGATGTTTAGTGTTCCAGGGTCACACAACCAATGGGGAGCAGACCTGGACAATTCTTACACTACCTTCCACCACTTCAGAAGGGGAGACTGGAAAAGCACATCCTTAGATGTTCACTAGTAGGAATTGACCAAGAGGCCTTTAACATTCCCCTCAGCTAGACTGAACTTTAGACAGGCTTCTTCCTGACTACAGCCCCCTGTCCTTTCTCTTTTTAGACCATTTACTTTAGAAAATTTGCAATTGTAAATATTTACTCTGTCCCTTTGAAATGCATATAAATCTTTCCCCAGGCTCTTGCCAGTTTTCTTTTCTTTTCTCTCTTTTTTGTTTGTTTGTTTGTTTGATTTTTGTGGGTTTTTTTTCCTTGAATTACCTGTGAATCACCTCTTTGAAATGTAAACATTGAAAAAGGTAGTGCTCTATCTAGTGATCACAGTGGATGGGTAGGAGCCTAACTTAGATGGGCACCAATTAACAAATACGATGACCTAGTTACACAGCAAAATAGTGACAAACTCAGGAATAACAATGTGCCATCCACATTCCATTGACCATCTCCCCCCAAAGGCATCCAGTACTTTTCACTAGTTCACTCCAGCATGTCACACTTTGTTTCAGCAAAACTGAGATCAGTTTTTCTTCCTTACTGTAAGTCTTGAGTAAAATCTTTCTTGCCTGTTTAACTTTGCCCAGGGAAATTTTTACTATAACAGAATCTAAAGGATCCAGAAACTATATGCCTAAGAAGAAATGTCAGCAAACTAACTTTTTACAAAATATCAAGAGATAGTAACACAATGGAAAAAGCCTGGGATGCAGAAACCCGGAGATTGTATTCAGAGGCTGCCAGAAGTAATTGTTCAAATATTTGGGTCATTGAAAAGTAGAGCAAGAAGCACCTGGTTTCCAAAATATGTGTCTCAGCTTGCATTCTGTTAAGATATGCCCAGAGGCATGAATTCAAGTGCAAATAGCTTGTTTAGGATCTGAAAGAAACACCAGTGGTGAGGAAGTGAGACTAGAAGGAAAGGCAGCCAAGAAAAATTACCTTTTCAACCCACCTACTAGTGGGGTTGAATTAACTGGAGATTAGTTCCTCATAGAAAACTTTTGGAAGCCAGTGTAAAGGACACCACACAAACTGTGAGGAACCTGGAGTATTTGTGCAAGAGCTATTGTTAGATGCTGTTTGAGAGCTGAGGGTGTTA